ATCAGTTCTACGTCAACGCGCTAAACAAATTATGCGACACAAATATGCATTACGCACAAGATGTCTGTGCCCTGACAAATTTCATGGAATCTCCCATATACCTCAAGTTCTCTGACCTGCTTGATCCTTAGGAAACAGGAGGCCAGACTCGATTAACTTGAACTTTCTAGCTTCAATCATGAAAATTGACACCGAGACTACTGCTAGCATTTATATGAGGAGTGTAGGAGTCATCGCTTGTTAACTGTTTTCATTGCTTGCTAAGTTGATAACTAATACCCATAGTAATAACTTCTTAATGCTACAAGCAGTAAATACAATGACATATTTCTCTATCCAAATGGCTGCTATGCAATAAACGATGGTAACCGAGACATTGCTACGTTGGTTTCACCGTTTTCGCTGGTCAAGGATATGTTATTATCAATAAATATCAACGGATGCTATGATGCAAGACGTATTTATGATAGCTTATGTTAAACTACAATGACTTATGTACTGATGGATCTTAAAAAATCGCTAGGCAGTTTATAGACAGAAACCCTGGCCGTCTATTCATTTTATATGATCTTTGCTATTTAGCTATTTCAGTGTATGAATGCCTATGTTCGATTTCTGAAGACAACTAGACAATTTTCAAAGGACCTCGGTTCGAACCATGCCACTTAAAATTTTGAACGCACAGGATTAGATGCACTTAAACATTATTGCCATCTAAACGTGTCGTGCTTTACATATGGTGTTTACTCATTAATAACCCGGTAATTTATGGTGATGCAGAAGTAACAGTTTATTGGGAAGGGTACTGATGATAGTAAATCATTCGTAACATTCAAACTGCCTCACATTTTTTTCCGTCCGTGAGTCTAAAGGGTTGCGTTAGTCATTGCAACAGCAAAAATGCTCTTGATAGTGTCAAACCCTCATTTTAAGTCAACCTGTTAAGAAAAATATTTTGGATTTATGCAAAACTTGGTCATGGATTTAACGCTCTTTTCGACTTGAGAAGGATTTCCAAAGAAGAAAGGCGATAAAAAGGCGACCCTGAGCGTTTTGATCAGTTGTAGGGCACTTTATCAGAATTCGTTTAAGTGTTTTGGCAAGGACGAGTATTTAGTTAAATGGATGCTGAATTCTGTTCATTAGCAACATACTTTTGAACGAATACCTTTCTTAAAGGTTCGAACATAGCCTCGTGTTAACGCGCTTGAAAGTCTATGCGGGTTTGCCATAAAGGTAAGGATATTGCAGATAGCTGTCTGGATGCGACATATTGCAGATGCAACAGTGCAACACCGTCCTCTCAATAGAGAGGGACAGCACAATTTCGTTGAACGTTTCCTGGTTTCACGTGCTTTCCTTTGGCGTGAGCAACGTTTTGTATGTTATGTATGATTTAGCTATGAATCGGTCTACTCACTGGTCTCTGCGCAAAATGCGGCTTCGCTTATTATTTTTTTCTGAGCTGCCTTTTTCATCCATGGTCGTAATCATCAGGTTTATTAGCTTGTCACTTGAGATATTCAGCTGTGCCTCTCCGCTGCAAGTGATAAATAAGTGTAAATATGAAATTAACGGACATAAAGATGAGCAATAAGATTAATACGGAAGTTATTTTGTGAGTTGTGCGCACTTTTCCTCGATGTTGCAGAGAGTGTGGGCGATGAATGAAATCACCGAGATTTTGTATTTTTTATTCTTGAATAGATTGTACAAACTGCTTTATAGTGGCTTAATTATGCGTCCCCAACTTCTTCATAGTGAAGGGACTAAATATCGTAGTTGTCCCTGCTATACTCTCAAACACCACCCCACTTAGCACCAAGTTGATTTAAAGTCCATTCGTCGTTTAATGTGTCCTTTCAGCAGATTTTTAACAGCCATCAGATACACGGCGTTTCGTGCACTTGCGTTCTGCATTAAAAGTTTCTACTTTCGCAATCTTCAATTCGTCATCTGTTGTCTATCTTTAGAGCCCAGAGGGTCGCGCAATTCCCTATTGTAATTGCACTCCTCCATGGACAGGTGATGCAAACTGTATGAAAAAATTTAATGCGTGCGAATTGACGCCGTTCGAAAAGTTTTGCATGTATGATTATGCGAGTTGCAATGCCGATGGATCCATGAACTACTCAACCCGCTGCAAGAACAACGGACAATGTATAGAAACGGCCGTTCTCCATATGGGTACTTCACGAGCCTTTACTTGCAAGTAACTCATTTCGCGTATCATTTTTTTCTGACTTGATCTTTTGATCAGATGTCCCTCGAGCCACATGGGCCCGTTCTGCGAGTTCAAAAATCCTTGCATTTCCAAAAGCGCATGTTCCAACGATCGCGATTGCGCTGTTGTGCCGGCTAAAGATGGCTCTAAAGTTGAAAAGGTGTGCCACTGCAAGGAAGGGGTAGCAGGTAACTAATATTTCTTCTTCATAAGAATTTGGCTACACTTTTGAAATATTTTTCAATCACACGTTCTGAATAGGCGAAAACACAAAGGATTAGATGTAGTTTCCAGCAGTCCGGATGGAAGTTCCATGTGCAATTACGTAATTTTCCTTATAACACGTTGTCAAGTGCTTACATGCACCACAAGTGTTACCATCAAGCTGCTGACTCCTAGGTAGCCTTTAGGCACTCAGGAGCAAAACACGGTGCCGCAATAGCATATGACTAAGTTGAGATAGTTTCGCTCATTTTGATAATGGTATGACATACCAATAATTTAATGCATTATGCTGTGGTGCATTACAGTTTTATAATTGTTGCATGAGCGCAACATCTTCAATCGATTGGATATGTTTCTACAAATTGCGAACTTCCGGATATTTTTATGCGAAAGTAAAAGGCAGCGAAATGGCCTATCACAAATGCCGAATAAGGTGATTAGCAATGGGCTGGTCAACGTGTGAAGCAAAACTTATCATGCTTTGAGACAATTTGACTCGGTAGACTGATAGATTTACTGGCGAACCAAACGGAATGGCAGGTATTTCTTGACTACCGTCTGTCGATCAAGGAAAGCATAACATGCCGGGTTCGCGCTGCCAACTCTCTAAACGTAATACGATGCAACATATGCGCAGGCTAATCGCTAACGGCTCCATTTCATTGCTGAACCTCTTGGCATCGGGTTCGATGCATGTTCACAATACCTTCTTTTAGTAACTTTACCACGAGGCAAGGAAACTGAATTTTAGGTAAAGCAACTGCCAATAGCGTTTGTTAAGACTACTCGGAATTTATTTCAATTATCGTCGCCTCAGCTTTGCTTGTCAAGAAAAATTATTTCGTTTGTTGAATAAAATAACAGTATTTTTACTTTTGCGCTGATTGCTATTAAGCAAAGGTATGTCTAAATAAACATGTTGCACATGTGAAGAGCTAAGCACAAAATAAACTATAAATTGCAACAGAGGAAACTTTACTTTTTAAACTTTTCGAATTACAACTCAGCAATAAAATCTTTCATCTTATCTGTTGCATGACAGAAGGATTATCTCTTCCTCGCTTTCTTTCGGTTTTTTGCATGTCGTTTTAGGTAAACTATGTCGCTGGAAAGAACGCGGTTTCGGTAGCGACGAACAATGTGAAAAGAATGAATGCAGTGAGGCTGGAGTGTGTGTTCCATGCCACAAATTTAAGGGCATCTGTAAAACTGGAGAAGATTATCATCGTGGCTACGTGTAAGCATGCATTGATGTTTCATTCAGTTTTGCATATGAAATATAATCACAATATCCGTCAAGAAGTTGAAATCGACACATAGCCCTACGCATGGTAAGTGAGCCATTTTTATTAATATTCAAATTAGTGGACAACCAACATCACGACTTATATTTCACACATTCTCTTAAAAGTAACTACATTTCTAATTACAATGACAACGGCCTTGCTTGTCGTCAGAATAGAAAAATTCGCTACTGCAAGATATGTATTCTTCCAGGAACCCCAGTTCTACTTGCCTAAAAGGAAGGCTGTGATAGAAGTCGTAATACTGAGGATATGGTTTGTATCCAAGTTGGTTCATTTTACGTACTGTCATTTGTCGTTTCGGAACTACTTTTACAGTCAGTAGATCTGCCCTCTACACACCGGCATGTCAAGAAACATCATATTAATCTCCACATATGTGATAGGAAGGTTTTTTCTCGTATCTTCCACATCTACCGTTATTTATCATAATCTTTCCTTCCAAATTCACATTTTATTTCTAGAATTACAAGACTTTTTTTCTGGTGAACTAATTGCTCCTTTCAGTTATTCTATTTTTGTTCAATATATCATTGTTTTCTACACTTCACCAGTTTTGAAGGCGTTTCCATTTTTCACGACGATGTTACATTCCGCATCTTGTCTTCCACAGGTTTTCTTTCACATGACAAAATTAAATGAAGATCATCAGAAAAATGAATGAAGAATTAAACGAAGATCATCATTAAATGAAGACTATCAGACATCTCTTTTTTGCGGGCGCAATCTTAACAGCACACGTGGTAAAAGCATTTCGCTATTGGTTCTTCGTACTGCCAACGCCACTACCTGCAAGTTTGCCGCCTTGTTAAGCGTATTTTAAACAGTGATTTGTGCAGTGTTCTGATTGCCACAGCACTACTATACATTTGAGATGCAGGTAGCAGCAATGATAATAGTTACGGTATTCTTTAGGGGTACGATGAAGGTCCAAGCTATTTAACTTTATGTTCACTGGAAGCTTCATTAGCGTCACGTATCTTCAGATATGTTACTCAAAATTTGTTTCGTGCACTGAGAAAATTTATGACGCCAATGAACTTGTTCTACTGATGGCCTGTTGTGCTTTTAGCTGCGCCTGTGACAAAAGTCAATCAGGAGTTTTCTGCAATGCGACCATTCATCCGTGTGACAGCCACGAATGCAAAAATCACGGCACTTGTATACCAAACGACGCTTATACATACAGGTGACGCACATTAAGTTATCGGTTGCTAATTTAAAAAATTTTCAAAAGTAGAATGAAAAATACATTCTTATATGCTCGTTTTAGATGTAATAAACGCTAAAATAAATGATGTCATGAGCGCTAACTTCCTTTTATTAGCACTATTTTCTACAAGGGATCCCTGCGAAATATAATTTTCTCCATTTTATTAAATCCCTAATAAATTCTTCCATCTCCCCACTGATTTTCACTTTTCTCCAAACCGCGCCGATCCATTATCACTTAAGGTTTGTTTCTGAGCCATTATTATTATTCTTTCATTTGGGAAAGCACCGCCTCCTGTGTGTCAAAACTGTCGTAATACCATAATTTATATGTTCAAATTGCTTGCGTCTACCTCATTCTATTTTCTAAAAGCACTACTTTCTTTTAAAATATTCAGAATGAACTACGGGTCAGGCATTTCTTGCCCTGTCTGTTTTTATTTCGACGATTTCAAACTCTGTTCCAGGGAAAGCATGGAACGCCTTCATAATAAGAGATTTCATACCAAGGTGAAATCCTACTTGTATTCTTTCTGTTTCTAAGTTTCTTCCAGACGATGAGATAACGGGTCACGTCGTACGTTGTGTCTTTAAAGTACATCTGGATTGAATGGCACTTTGATTAGAAATACGAATGGAAGTATGGCTTGACAAACGAATGTATTTCCTGAGTGAATTTATTGGGAAATATTTTCCTCGTGCGCTAAGCTTTTTAAACGAGGGTCAGCATTTCCATAGTGAAGACTAATGATCCAAACGACGCTAAAATTATTTCCGAAAATGGAAAGAAATGACCACTGTTACACGTTGGCAAATCAGCTCTATGCTATAATTTTTCTCAGTTCATCGCATACTCGTTGTTTTAATGTTGCTAAAAGTTGCATTATGAAAATAGTTGTTTTGAAAACTTTTTCGCGTAGCCCGATTGGTTTTTCATTTAGCACTATACCAAAATCTTACATTCATTTCATCATAGCTTTGAATGACTGACAATTCGCGTCAAAGTCGACTTAACTGAGACCCTGTTTTCTGGGATTCAAGCTCTAACAAGCTTCATTTTTCCACTGTTGCTTCCCTTGCATGTGATATTACAATTACACACAATATGCGTGATTTTTTCAGTTTGAGAAAAGACCCTACTGCAGTGAGCGCAATTGTAGCCATTAATCACAGAAATCAGATACGAAAACAACCAGCAGGTACATTTTTTGGCATTATCAGATTGATTCTTACAGCCGCCTTGGTAAAGAAAAGAAATTCTACCAGCTCATATCATCAGCTGAATGTTTTCTGATATCTTCTGATTTTGGTTAAGTTATATACAGTGTCTTAAACCACTTTTCAGTTACGAAAACGAAACGGCTTCGAGTGTTTCTCTCATTTTACGGTTTCTATATATGAAATATATTAACAACCCTAATTGGCTTGACTATTGTTGATTTGTTTAATATTTATTAGGTGTCAGTGCAGAACAGGCATCACTGGATTGCACTGCGACATTATCGTGGATATTTGTGCAGTAAGATTGCCATGCATGAATGGTATCTGCTTTCTGGACACAGTCCAAGAGCCAGGCTTCTTATGCGAATGTTTCGCGGGATTCACAGGAACGCAGTGCGAATTGCAAACATATCGTATGAGACCATTTGTAAACTTTAATGCATCTGTGAATTTTAGGCATTTTCGGCATTTGGGACAGCACCAAAATTACGCTGTCTGCATTTCAAATGTTCTTCGTTTCAATAGTTTCAACTGGCTTCTTTTATTTTGGATTGCGGCTGCTGATATCATGGTTTCCGTACAAGTAAACTAGTTTAAGAACAAATTTTTTTCAAGGATTTTATTAAAATCAGATTTATTTGAGGTTCAAAAGTTCGCTGAACCCAGTTTCTGAAGAAAATCAGGCGCCGACAGAATCAGGGTACGCGACGAACTTCAGTCTGGAAACTCAGCAAAAGCAGTCAAAATTCACTAACTAAGCAAAATATAGTACTATTTCGTTTTTATTCCAGCGTTTTTAACAACAGATCAATTATGCATTCTCCAGTTGCCATTTCGTATTGCATGCAATCTTTTATATGTCGTTTTTCTCAAATATATCTGCTTAGAAACGCAGTTGATGTTCTTTCAGTATGTCATGTCTTGAGCTGAATTCAATATCTATTGAGCATGGAAGTATTAAAGCAGTTATTGCTAACGTGTATGACTTAATAGCAACAAAATGCTAACGTTTTAGAACGACTTATTAAGGCAGTTGCACAGTCGTGATTCAGAAATTTTATACATAAAATTGTTATGTCGTTCATGATTTGAAGTAAAATTGACTTCGATCATGTGTAGGAGGAAAATATTTTTGATTTTGATGTATCATGGGATGAAAAAGCCTGTAGAGAACAGAATTCTTTGGAAATGTAAAGTATAAATTGATGAACGATAAAAGTTCAATTTTCATCAAGGTCGAAAATGCTTCCCGGATAAATCAGGAGGGAGTCAAGGAGCCTACATCAATCAGATGGTGGTATACTAACTGATTTCAGCTTACCATATATCATACTGCGATCAGTCATTTTACAGTTTTTCTTTTGGGTCATCATGAAACGCTGAGGCAGTTTATGAAAGTGCTTTCAGACTGAACCAACAAGTATGAACCGCTGGTATGTCTTAACATCAAGGTAAGTTACAAAGCAATTCTGGCCATAACTAGTTATATGAAAACTATTAGATTAGATATTCGGAGGAAGATGGTCGACTGTAATCAAGAGAGGGGTGTTTGAGTGATTTTGTTCTGAATGCGAAAGTTGACTTTAATACGTCTTTCTTATGGTCATTTAAGCTTAGCTGATTAACATATTTTATTCGTTATTATTAAATACGAAACTCATTTACCAAAAGACAGAGAATTGTTAAGTGCGAAAAAAAACATTAGCAGGTTGTGTAAGGACATTAAACAGATAATGGAATGGTTCTAGACTGATTCTTATTTAGCAGAACTTAAGGAACCTAAAGCGTTATTCCGTTTTCAACGTTTACAGCTATAGTTAAAAAAATATCCCTCCCCTACTTGTTAAATAATGGCCTTATGTTTTTCTGCATGCCTGATTGAAGATATTCAACCAAATATCCTGTCAATTTCTTCTACGCCACAGACTTGACCAATCGGAAAGTTGACATCAGACCACTGCTTTGCGTTTCCTTTCTTAGTACTGCATTAAAAGTCGCATTTTGCTTTGCAGTTCAAAAGCGAAAAAGTAACTAAAATTTTAATCCGACGGTAGATATTAAAGGGCAGCGTTAATATGTCATTGTGAAAGTAGTAAATCCTTCTAAATTACTTAAATTCATCCGTTGGGAACAATGAAGTCAGTGGTTTAGCTTTCACGGCTCTGCATTTTGCAGGAAGTTCAGAATTTTCATGGGCAGAACGAACAGGCACAAAAAAACCTTATATTTCCCTCTGATTAAAGTAGCCCGACTCTACGCCATGTATGCTACTGTTACATTCTAGGACAGGATTTGAGTTCTATCGCTGATGCGTAAGTCAGACTCTCTTCCGCGAAGTGACTGAATAAAATGGGTTCATGGTGCGTTGTATTTTCTACATAAAGCTCGTGTAACTTTGCATAAATCAAAAGAAATACAGTGTTGCAACAAGAGATGATCCCTGAATGTTTTTTTTGCCAATTCATCCTCCTGATATGGCTTATAATGAGCTAGAAAATAGCCAGGTGAAAAGGCATCACAGATTTATTCGTAAGTCTAAGAAAAACAACGTGATGACAAATCCGAACGAATGACATACGGACCGCCTAGCATACTTAATCTCGAGAAAGACACGACGAATGCGACATGTATACTGGCCCTGAACAGTTAATTAAGCATATCAGATACGGTTCAAACCAAATTATACTGAACGGACGTTTTGCCGCGGCTTCTAGTTCAATATTTTATATTTGTTTCGGTCATCACATGGAGTTTTATGCTGAAGCAATATCTTATCATTGTCCTTGCGATGGTTGCCGCTGCTTTCGGATGTATACAGTTAAGATATTTGCGACAAATTGTTTCCAATTTGAGTGAAAACGAGTTACTTTTCAATTTTGATGCTTATGAGCAAGGACCTTTAAGGACAACTACAGCGACAGGAATATGCACCTACCTCATTGTTAAATTTTTTAAACTGAAGCCTTCGTTTGCTGAGATCGAAAATTTGCCGTAGACTTTCGTTCAGTTCACGTGAAAGTTACTTTCGATGAAAACTGTCGTTCTGTGGAAATCAACTATTCGATTGCTCATCATTAATTAGTAGACAATAAATATTAAAGGTGGTAATAACATGCCACTTCAGCATCAGACAAAAGCAAAGATCTTAACGCAAGTATGATTCTCAAAATTTAAAAAAAAGAATAAATAAGTAGTTTTAAACATTGAGAAAATAAAATTATTCTGATTGGCTGACAAAGTTATTAATTACAACTAAGTGCAATTAATATCATATTAACTTGGATGCTGACACTGTTTAACAAGAATTCTTTGACCATATGCCCTGAGCTAATTAATTACGTGAAAAATGGTTACTCGTATCGGACAATTTCTTTGGCCCAAAACTCGCTAGAAAACGAGGATAGCGTGCGGAGAGGAAAATATGCCGAAAAAATGCTGAAATTCCCGAAAATAGAAAATTATCGATTACAGTTAGAACCTGCATAAACATAGAACTATTCCATTGCATTAAAACATAATCTTACCTTACCTATATGTAATTGCGAGACACTGGCATTAACAAAAATGAACAGATGTTAAGAGTCCTGCAGCGCGCTATGAAAGCAGGATGCTAGGAATTTCCATTAGGATTAAACTATGAAATGAAGGAATAAGAATACTCACTGGAAAGCAGAACGCGGTATCATTTTAACAAGAAAAAACTCTTAATTGGCAGATCACATCCAATGACTGACAGATAATCGATGAACCTTCGGAAGTGACGGAGTGGTACCCAAGAGGCTACAAGCGCCCAATTAGAGTACCTCAGCTCAGACGGGAAGGAAAGGAAGGTTGGAATAATTACCTTCTTGGCATTTGTATGATGGTACCAAGTCTAGCAGCCCTATTTTCAGGCAGTTAACCGTGGGGACGCTGATCTCCACTTCCATGTCATCAGCCATGAGTGCTCCATTTTTAAACGCAAAATCGAGAGCACTATGTGATTAACATGATCCCTATTCTCCTGTTTCTTTCTCACTAATTCATCACAGTGATACCCATTTTCTAACCTCAGGAAAAGCCAGGCGAGAAACCCTGTCCAGGATTCGTCTGAATTTTAAGTCTGACGTAATACCGACTGAGCCAATCCTATCTAATGCACAGTGTGAGAATATCCTTATTAAGTTGAATCAATTGTTATGACAAAAACTGATCATCTCCAGAAAGTGAGTTCGAGCGTGACCTCCTAAAAATTGCCACCAAGCCGCTCGGAATGAGGAAGTAGGATGATGAACTAAAAGGATCAATTGCTCAAAATGTATATAATTTAAAAAAATATTTTTCTGCCGCAAGCTGACCCATAAGAGTTTTGAGTAGTTCAAATTAAAAATGTTATTGCTTAGGATGCGGAGATAATCTTTTCTTAACTGATGAAACTCCATCTGACATTAATGAAATTACATCCGTCATTTCGTGTGGATTAAATTTAGCATGAGTGATATTTATTCAACAGCGAGAAATTTTCTGATTCCAACTTTGCTGCACTAAGGGACCCAGTCAAGCAACTGCAACGAATTCAGGTGTCACTTTGATAATGCTATACTGCTGACGCAGAGTTCATAATTCATAGTATAGCATACTTTGACGATATTTACTTATATTTAAGCGTAAAATATTCGAACTTTAATTTCCAGTGGAAATTTATCATTGATACGCTAGTGCAAAGTTCAGCACTCTAGGCAGCAAGCAACTTTTTCTGTCAGTTTAGCGGATTCTCTAGGCTTCACAGTATGACGAATTCAGCGTAACAAATTTTGATGTTTTTACATAAATGCTTAGCTACCGTAAATGACAACAAAATTTCAAACTTGAATACCAACGACCATGATTAAAGAGGTCTTCATAACTTAAGAAAGCATAATACACCAGGTATTGTAGAGTCA